GAAGGAAAAAAGAGGAAGTACACGTAGTTTCATTGTAGTTTGAAATATTAAATTTACAAAATAATTTTAAAAGATTTCAACAATAGCCAATGAGGTATGCATACTGCTAAAACAAATACAAATAATTACCACATTCAAGGCAAAAAATTGAATAAGAATGACCTTAAATAGAATAACCTTTTAAGTTAGTCAGGTCGCCTGGCAACGTCGAGTTTAAGCTAATGGATCTATGCGGTTGACAAAAATTCATACACTTCGGCAAAAAGGTTTAAGATTAATAAGGCACGAATAAGGGGCAGTAAGTTGTTCTTTACGGCATTGTCACATAATACTCCTGCCAGAGGGTGCTCGGATTACTATAGGTAAAGTCACCGGTCAGCATCAAAACAAAGCAAATTAGAATAAACATTCACATATATAGCGAGCTCTTAAAATGACCTCAACCATTCGGTAGTTGAGGTGTCATCCCTGGCCAATGAAGTGTGCTGCCGCGAGCTGTACAGCTGTACAACACAGGAAGTCCAATAAATTCATCACTGAAGTTGAACTTCCCCTGAGTTCAAGTTATTTACACAAATTTTTTTGGTTGTCAGTTAATGGAAATAAAGACCACATGTCTTTTAAATTCTACTGGGCCTCTTCCAGTTTGTAGCTGATTAAGGTCGGCAATTGCAAGGTCTTTCTGCGAACCCTCATAGCTAAGTAGTTGAGGACCTCATCCAAGCTGTGAGTCTGGATTTTGAGATTAAGTAACCTACGAAAACTAAAGTTCTACAAGGTGTCGTTTCCCCATTCGAGAGAACAGAAGTCTACGCTTTTCAGACGTACGCATCCATTCTATTCGTCAAAATTACAATCGGACGTCTTTACAACTTTCTGGTTCACAAGTTTCTGGTTTTTCGTTTAAGATTGACCGATTGAGCAAAATAATACTTTAAATTCCTGTGTTTCTTGTAGTAATATATTTTTCTTTGTGTCAAAGAAGATTGATCCATCTGAATTTAAAATTTTTAAGGAAAATGTGTTTTTATGTTTTTTCTAATAAACCTGGATTATATTCGCCAGCCATTTCGACTCTTCGTCGTCTGAAAAATAATTTGAATTGGCGCGACCATTTTTTTTGTAACTTCAATCCAATGCGTCGCCTGCGGGATGCGAGAAAACCTGTCTAACCGTTTCTCTTGAGTACAAATACCGCGTGGTATTTGTGCTCTACGAAGTGTAGTTGGATAACAACCGACGTTATCTCAACTGAGAATTATTTGTTGCTATACTGAGAGTGGAAGACTGAGTCAACTGCTTCAGTTACGTCCTCAAAGATTATCGTGTTACTGCCAAAAGGCGTGTCCTTTCGTGGCCGCTTGCAGTAATGATTTCAAACGCTCGATCAGAGGAAGAGGTTTCAACTAATGAAGAACCAACAAAAATACAAGTTTACAAATGCAAAAATATAAAACTGAAAGGCGACTAAAGCGAACGCGATGAACATAATAACTAGGAACTTACATTGTTTTCTGGATTATCAAGAAGGAAATT